CATGTTAACAACATGACCTCATAAAGCAGCTGAACTTGCTAGCTAATTACTCCGGAAGAAGCAGCTAATTAATAATTATGCCAAAACCAAAATTATCTTTTTTTCTGGCACAGCTGATGTGCTTTGGTTTCCAGATGGATCATACCAGCCAATGCTCCTCAGCAGGAAAAAACAGTTTCATTATTTGGGGGAGCATTTGGTGGTGAACATCCTGACTAGCCCTTTGAGATAAAGTCGAACTAAAATTGAAAAATTCTCCAGGAACAATATTAGGTTCCTTTATGGTAGGTATAGATCTTTGGTACCTCCAGCTCCTGATCTTCCAGCCCAGGATTATCTGGTTAACCACTGCACTGGAGTGCAAAACTCTGGGGCTTCAAGCAAGCATTTAATCCTGAATTGGCACATACCTTGGGATGTTTAGAAAGAAATTCTGAACACTCAAGTTTGCTTTCAGTTCACCTTCAGGACACCCCAGTGGGGACGTAGATAAGCCCTTCTATTAAGACAGGAATATAAATACTATGACCTAGGTGGTGTTTACAATAATAACCATTAAATTGAATATTTACATTTTACACATTTTCCTATATGTCTTATATTTCAGAACAAAAACATTAAAAAAGGTTACTTGCCCATCCTAGTGGGCAGATGATAAGCTCCATCACCAGAAGAAGGTGAATGTGAAAGCCTGCTGAGCAGACGGGAAAAAAAAACCAAGACAACAAAACACAATAGCAACCATAATCCTCTTCACCTAGCAAATGCCTGAAGCATGGGTGTCTTACGTTACAGGAAAGAAGAATTTAGACTCAGTTCTATTCCACTGATCTGTGTCTAACTTATATAAGCACCACACTGTCTTGACTACTATAGCTTTGTAGGGAGTTTTGAAATCAGGTACAGTGAGTCCTCCAACTTTGTTATCTTTCAAGATTGTTTTGGATATTCTGGGTCCTCTGCATTTCCTTAAGACTTTTATAATAGCCTGTCAGTTTCTGCAAAACAAAAACAAAAACAAAAAACAAAAACAAAAAACCCAGCTAGGATTTTATAAGATATTGCATTGGAATTTGTCTATCGCTCTGGGGAGTACTGCCATCTTAACAAGATTAGGTCTCCCAACCTATGAACACTATCTTTCCGTTTAATTAGGCTTTCTTGAACCTCTTCCAACAATGTTTTACAGTTTTCAGTATGTAAGTCTTGTACTTCCTTGGTTAAATTTATTTCTAAGCATTTTATTCTTTGTGGTGCTCTTGTAAATGGAATTATTTTCTCAATTTCTTTCACTGTTATGTCTAGAAATACAGTTAAATTTTGAATATTGATCTTGTATCCTGCAACTTTGCTGAACTCATTTATTAGCTATTACAGGTTTCTTTTTTTGTGTGTGTGTGGATTCACCAGGGTTTTCTACATAAAAGATCCTGTCACTTGCAAATACAGATAGTTTGCCTTTCTTTCCAATCTGCATGCCTTTTATTTCTTTTTCTTGCTAACTGCCCTGACTAGAACCTCTATTATATTGAATCATAAGGAATTACAATATTGAATAGAAATGGTGAAAGAACCCAATCAAAAATGGGCAGAAGACCCGAATAGACATTTATTCAAAGACATAAAGATGGCCAACAGGCACATGAAAAGATGCTCAACATGACTAATTATTACAGAAATGCAAATCAAAACCACAGTGAGGTATTACCTCACGCCTGTGACAGACAGAAAGAGTAAGTGGGTGAGAGAGAATGGACAAGTGGGAGCAGGTATTTGACAGAGTGTGAACAGGTAGGTGACAGAGAGAAGGGGGTGGTAGTGACAGAGAGAGACAATGGGAGAGAGGGAGAGAACAAGAGAGAATGAGTGTCAGAGAGAGTGAGTGGGTGACAGAGGTGGGTGACACAGAGAAAGAGATAATGGGCAACAGGAAGAAACAGAGGTGGGGGAGGGAGGGAGGGAAGGAGGGAGAGAATGCCAGACAAAGAGAAAGAGGGGGCAACAGGGGGAGAGGGACAACAGAGAGTGGAAGCAAGCAGGGGGTACTGAGAGCACAAGGGGTGGTGGGTACCAGAGGAGAGGGTGGGCAAGGGAGGAGCTGGTGGGCGGACATTGCCAAGGGAGAGGATGGATGACATAGAGTGTGTGACAGAGTCACTGTATGTGACAGAAGATGAAGGTGTGTGACAAGAAAAACACATGTACAGAGACCCTGTGACAGCAAATTTCAGTTTTCTTTCATCTCTTAGGCAGGAGAGGCAAAGAAACAGGGAAGGAGAGGGACAGAAAGGGGAGAGGAGAGAGGGAGGGAGAGAGAGACAGAGAAACTGTGAGAGGAGGATGGTGCCAAGGAGTAGAATGACGAGCAACTGAGAAGACAGAGAAAGCAATGCTTTGTGTGAGGGGGTTTTGGGGGCGGAGGAGGGGTTGGAAGAGGGTGGGAGAGACTGAGAAAGATCAGGAGAAACCAAAGAGGGATTGTTACAGTTGAACGGCTCATGGGAAATGGGATGTCAGGAGAGACAGGGAAATGTGACAGAAAAGTGGGGACTGTGAGGGTACAAGATGATGACTGTGAGAAGAGGGGCTTTTTGAGGGGGTTGGGTAAGAGACCATTTGCTCATGCTCAGAAGAAAGTACAAGGGAGCAGTGAGACAGATGCCAGTGTGAGAGGCAGGGTTGGGGAATCAGGGCAAGAGGCCCGTTTGCTTGCGCAGGGAAAAGAGGGGGTTGGGGACTAAAGGTCTTAAGCCTTATCCCCATTTTCCAGATGAGAAAACTGAGGCTCAGTAGAGTCAGGGGACTTACTTGAGGTCTCCCAGCTATCAGGTGGCAGAGCCAGAATTTGAACCCTAAATGGCCCAGCTCTGAAGCCAGCACTCTACCACTACCACAGTGCCTCCCTATTTTCCCCAAGTCTTCCTTAAGGAAGTCATGTAACTTAGTCCAAAGGTGTGCTTTTACTCCTCTGTAAGGAGACCTTCTTCTTTTAACAGCTTTAAAACATTCTTTCTTTTTTTTGAAAAGAAGATGGAACTATTCCACTGCTCCAATTTATTTCTTTGTATTACAACAAAATTTAAAACTTCTGTGCATCAAAGGACACAATGAACAGAGTGAAAAGGCAACCTACAGAATGGGAGAAAATATTTGCAAATCATACACCTGATAAGAAGTTAATATCCAGGATATATAAGGAATTACAATTCAACAACAACAAAACAAACAACCCAACGAAAAAAATGGGCAAAGACTTGAAAACATTATTTCTCAAAAGAAAATATACAAGTAAATGGTCAATAAACACATGAAAAGATGCTCAATATCACTAATCATTAGAGAATGCAAATCAAAACCCCAATGAGTCAGAGGGGCGGTATAGCTCAATGGTAGAGTGTGTGCTTAGCACGCACGAGGTCCTGGGTTCAGTACCTCCATTAAAAAAAAACAAGTTACCACTTCACTATCATTAGGATGGCTAGTAACAACAAAAACACAAAACTAGTGTTGATGAGGATGTGAAGACATGGGAACTCTTGTGCACTGTTGGTGGGAATGTAAAATGGTGCAGCTGCTACAGAAGACAGTATGGCAGTTCCTCAAAAAAGTAAAAATAGAATTACCAAATGATCCAGCAATCCCACTTCTGGATATATACCCAAAATAATTGAAAGCAGGATCTCTCCACACCCATGTCCACAGCAGCACTATTCACAATGGTCAAGAGATGGGAGCAAACCAAGTATCCACCAAGAGATAAATGAATAAACAAAACATGATATTATGCATACAATGGAATATTATTCAGTCTTAAAAAGTAAGGAAATCCTGTCACATGACACAACATGGATAAATCTTGAGGACATATACTAAGTGAAATAAACTCGTCACACACACACACACACACAAAAATTCTGTATGATTACACTTATATATAAGGTCCCAAGAGGACTCAAATTCACAGAGAAAGTAGAATGGTGGTTGCCAGGGGCTGAGGGAGAGATGAATAAGGAGTTGTTGTCTAATAGGTACAGTTTTAGGTTTGCAAGATGAAAAGAGTTCTCGAGATGGATGGTGGTGATGGTTGAACAACACTGTTTATGTATTTAACACCACTGAACTGTACACTCAAGAATGGTTAAGATGGTAAATTTTATGTTGTATTTTATCACAATTAAAAAAAATTAAATGCTCGTTTTTCAACACAAATGTCTTCTCACGTGAGCTCACTGACCCTTGTAGTTGGCTATTCCGTCCTGTAGTATGCCTTGCCCATTATACCTCTTACAGCACTTATCAACCAACATAGCAATTATGGTTTACCTATCTCTTTTCACAACTATATCATAAACAACCTGGGGGCAAGGACAGTGTTTTACCCTCTCTGTATCCCCACCAAGGCTGGAAAGACCCAAGAAAGGCTTTTGGGGGACGATCTTAAAATTAATGTACATTTCTGTATATTAATACACAACATATACAAAAATCATTGAGAGACTATAAAAGGAAATATCTTACCATATATAAAGTGAATTTTATATCTTTAATAAACCAACATGTATTTTATATGAAAAAGAAAACTATCTCCAAAGGTTGAACCTTGACCGAAAATGTATACATTAAATTATAAAATCAAAATATAATAGAAAATAATATTTAAATTTAGTAATAATAATATAACGCATCACCAATTTTTACATATTAAAAGGAAATGGATTTCGAGATGGTAATTTTGAACGCTGTAGACCCAAGAAAGACCTTGGTCGATTGAAGTTCTGGCTCTTCAGGAGTTCATACCGGAGAGTTATTTGACCCAGCATCGGGGCTCCCCAGGCTTTAGAAATCTGGGGAGATTTCCACGCCTCCCTCTGAGAACATCGGCGCGCGTCTCACAAGGCTCCACCTCAGCAGTTTGGGTCCCTGGAGGAGGACTCCCCCACACACACCCCCATTGCCGGCCAGGGCCCGTGAGCCAGACCCGCCCAGCGGCCCAGACATACCTCAGGTAACGGGCAGCCTGCTCTGGGCTTAAGGCCCCGGCTTCCGCAAACCCTCGGGACGCCTCCATGACCCTCAGACCGGGTTCCGTTTATCTCGGCTGGAGATTGAATGTCCCTCTCTCCCGCCCTGCGCATGCGTCCTGCGCATGGAGGCGGGGCAGGGCCAACCGTCAGCGTCGCGGCCGGCCAATCCGCCGCACAGCTCCCTGGCGCCACCGCCCGAGCCCCGCCCACGAAGGTCGCGCGCCTGCGCCTACTCGCGCTGGAGTTCAGAGGCGGTCGCCGCGCGGGTGGCGCGGGTGTATTGCGTCATCTCGTTGTCTGTTGCGTTTTTCAATCCAATCCAAACCTTGGTGTGGCAAATTCGTATATGTGCGTGTGCGTGTGCGTGTGCTATCCTCGCGAGTGGAGTAGACTGCTTGATAGGATCTCAGTCGTTTTAGTGGCCCCTAGAAACCACCTCCGCAGCCTGCGTCCCCAAATATCCTCTCTTCCCTACTCGTCAATGCCTGGCACTGAGCATGCTTTGAATTCAGACTCCCTGGGAAGCGTAGTCCCCGTGACTTAAACTCACAGTGAAAAAGGGTCTAAAAGAACCAAGTCGAAAGTCTCATTTAAGAAATTAGTAGTGCTGCGGTGTATGGTCACCACCATTTCTTCAGAAGCGCCAACTGAGATGCAGTCCTATTTTCAAAGGCAGAGCTCAGAGCTTCAGGAAATGTGGTGATTAAGTTTAAATGGCTTCCTTGGGGAATGCTACATGGCAGGTTTGTAGGCCAACAAAAATTGTCCTTGTTCATTGATATAACATTGTAAACCGACTATACTTAAATTAAAAAAAATTTCCCTTGTTCATATACTGGTAAGAACATGGACATTACAATTCTTTGAGGCACTACTTAACAATCAGTATTTGAAAATTCACCCATTGGCCCAGTCACATGGCTACCATATGTCCGGAGGATTTGAAGCCTTTTGTAAATTTCATAGATCCTTATGAGCAAAAAGGTGATCTTAGAGAAGATGGGCTATTTTCCCAGTTTATATGACTTTAAGTCATTTGTTCATATGGCTTTAGGTCCTCTGTTAAGAGGACTTTTAGTATACCATGATTATCATTTTTCAGATGTGAAAACTGAGGCTCAGAGAAATAAGTGACTTTGCCTAAGGTTCCAAAGATGGGAAATGACAGAGCCAGAATTCCATACCAGGTCTGTATGGGCACAAATCTGTGCTCAGTCACTGTATCACACTGCTTATTGCTGGAAAGAGGGGAGTGGTGGGAAATAAGGTTGCTGGGGTAGTTGGAAGCCAGTTTGTGAAGGAGCTTGCTTCTGCTCTCTGCTGAAGTGTTTGAATCACTTCTTTTCCTGGTGGCAAGTTTAGAGGGGCGGTGGGGCACAGTCAAGTGTACAGGTGCCCTGAGTGCCCAGAGGATGAGTGTGGGGAGAAGAAGGGATGGCGGAGAGAATGCCACAGAAAAGAAAAGAAAGATGGAAGCACAAAAATCTTCATCTGGCATCTGAGGAAGGCCACCTCTAGTGCTTTGGCTCAGTATCTGCCATCATCGCTTATACCCTTGGAACTGTTGAGAACTCAAGATGAAGCAAAGCAGAACCCTGATTGCTGCCCTAGGCAGCTGCCACTATGTCAGCTTTGGAGAAAAGCTAAAAGGAACTCTCTCAGGAGCCGAGCTACTCCCTCCAGGTTTCCCAGCTGACAGTGATCTCCAAAGGGCCCAATCACTAGATGAAAGGACCAACCCTCCCTAGGCTGCTGGATTTTTCTCAGTACCATTTTCACACCGTCCTAAGACTCACCTTTCTTTAAACCCACTAAGTCCTCGAGCTCTGCTTTCCCTCCCCCTCATTCCTGTGGTGGCTGCTTCCTTTGGGCCCTTCTCAGTGCCTTCTAGAGTCCCAGCTCCCTCCCCAGGGGTCCAATGACCCAGGAACCCCAAAACCCAACGCCACCCCGGACTCCTAGTCCTCCTCTGTAAATGATCACACACATTCACAGACCAAAAATAAGAGAGAGGTTGGGGAGGATTTAGAGTGGATAAATGGAGAGAACAAAAGAGGATCAAAATATGAGTTAACTCCAATATCCCATTTATGTGTCAGGCCCTGTTGAAAGCACTTTACTTATATTAACTCTCTTGGCTGTTCCTCATTTCACATCTACCCCCAAAGCAAGGGCTGGAATGCGCTTCTCTCAAGGAAATTGTTAATTTTAAAAATGTGGTCATGGGAGAGGGTATAGGTCAGTGGTAGAGTGCAGGCCTAGAATGCACAAGGTCCTGAGTTCAATCCCCAGTACCTCCACCAAAAAAATAAATAAGTAAACTGATTACCTCCCCCTGCAAAAAAAAAAAAATTGAAGTGTGGTGATGTGGTGTATTTCTATGTATATCTGCTAGAAATACATAATGGAGTATTCACAGATAAGATGATACGACATCTGGGATTTACATTCAAGTACTCCAGGACAGAGAAAAGTGAGAGAGAGAGAGAGATGAATATAGATTGGCAAAATGTTGATAACTGTTGAAGGTTGTTTCAGAGATTCATTATCCTTTTCTCTCCACTTCTCTGCATGTTTGAAATTTTCCATGATAAAAATTAAAAAAAAACTTTGCTTTCTAATCTGCAAATTACACTGAGTCACCTGCAGTCACAGACCGGAAATAAGATAATGACGCCTTGTGGGAGAGTTCAGAGTGGGTAAATGGAGAGATGGATGAGGCAGAATAAGAACAATAGCCATGACTAACATGGCACTTGAGTCTACACACTTTACATATGTTAAGTCTTTTCATCCTCACAACAGCCTTATTAGGTAAAGTATGCTATTATTATTGTCCCTTTATAAATAAGGAAACTGAGGCACAAAAAGGTTGAATACCCCGTAACACAAGCTTACACAGCTCCTGGGCCATAAAGCTGAGTTCCAAGCAGCCTGGTTTTTTTTCGAGGGGGAAGGTAATTGGGTCTATTTGGTTTTGGGAGTGGTACTGGGGATTGAACCCAGGACCTTGTGCCTGCTAAGGGTGCATGCTACCACTTGAACTATACCCTACCCTCAGCTTGGCTTATGACTTTTTGCTCTTAAACATTACGCTAGTTAGACACAGAAATCTGATAAGTGAAGAGAAGGATTCATTTATCTATTTACTTATTCATTTATTTAATAAACATGTGTTAAGCCTTTACAAGATGGCCAGGCAAGGATCTGGGTGCTGGGGTACAGTGATGAGCAAAACAGACAGACAGGTTCTTGCTATCAAGGAATTTAAAGTTTGATCAGGGGAGGGCAGGAGGGGGCTAGACTTGAAACAGTGAAACAGTGAAACAGTGATCACGCAAATATGTGGAAAATTACAAACTAGGGGTGGGTAGGAGTGGTGAGGTGGGTAAAGCTCAGTGGTAGAGCATATGTCTAGCATGCATGAGGTCCTGGGATTGTTCAATCCACATACCTGCATTAAAAAAAAAGAGGAAGGAGGGTAATAGCTCAGTGGTAGAGCACATGCATGGAGGTCCCGGGTTCAATTCCCCAGTACCTCCATTTAAAAAAAAAGAAAATTACAAACCATGATGAAGTTTGTAGGAAGGAAAACTCCAGGGAGTTCTGAGAACATATGATGAAGTACTGGAAGGGCTGGGAAAGGTTTCTCTGAGAAAGTAGCATTTGCGCTGAGAGCTGAAGGGTAAAGAGGAGTTAATTCAACAAAACATAAAATTGTTGGGGGTGGAGGGAAGAGCGTTTCAGACAGAGGGAAGAGTATGACCCTAAACCCTGAGACAGGAGAGAGCTTGATGCCTGGAAAGAACAGAGAAAGCTAAGGTAGTTGGAGCAAAGCCTAGGATGCTAGGGTTGGAACGGTTTTCTGAAGTCCAGTTCAATGTCACAGGTGAAGAAACTGCCACTGGGAAAGGAAATAACTTGTCCAAGGTTACACCCTGAATCAGTGGCAGAACTGGGATTCAAACCTAAGTTCCCTTACTCCCAGCTGGATGCTCTTTCCAGCACAGACCATGGCTTCCCTGTGTATGAGGAGAAAAGAAGCCAACTGGGTGTCAGTAAAATGCAGCTCTCAGGGACTGAGAATGGGGGTGTTTTTAGAGATAAGTAGCAATAACCAAACGAAGCCTTCATGGGCAAGGAGATCAAGAGTGGTTTTGTCGGGGGAGGGTATAGCTCAGTGGTAGAGGTGCACAAGGTCCTGGGTTCAATTCGCAGTACCTTCATTAAAAAATAAATAAATAAAAACTTAATTACTTGCCCCCCGACAAAACAAACAAACAAACAAAAAGAGTGGGTTTGGGGCAGATAAAAAGAGGGATTTGGAAGCAGGAAGAATTTAACTTGTGATTCCTAGATACCTTAGGCTTTTCTCTCCCTATTTCTAGATAGGGTTCTAAAGTGGGTGGAGGCGTTTTTGGGGGGTGGAGAAGGGGACTGGTACTGATGCCTTCCTCTCCTCTTTTGGGGTGAGAGGGGTCTGACCCAGGGGAAGCAGGAGGGAGGGTGCTCTCCTGCTTCGCAGCCCGCGATGAGTCATCTCCAGCTCCGCCAGCAGGGGGAGCCGGAAACCAAATTTCTTAATGGCAGCTGGCTTGGCCCCAGGGCTGGATACATTCTTACTGGAATCTAGTCAGGTCAGCCCAAGATGCTGTGGAAATGACAGGAACTGAGAGGAAAGAGGGAGCCAAAAGTTAGGATTATCCACAGGGTCTTTGCACTAAATTTCAAGGTCTAATGAATGCCTTCTAAACCTGCCTCCTAGGGTTTGGGCTGAAGCAAGCACCAAAGGGGAGGGAATCCTTTGACAGGAAAGACAGTGCTGCTGCAAAAAACATGGCATCCTCCACTCTCTTTTGGCTACCTCATCCACTCCCGGGACCTCACAGTCTGTCTCTAGCCTCATCTTCTCTCCTGAGTTTCAGACTTAGACGGCCAGCTGGCTAAAAGGCATGTCTCCCTGGAAGCTGGAACTCAAAACGGCGCTGAACTCATTTCCCACCCACCCCTAGACCTGTTTGTTCCCTCAGTCCTCCCATGAACAGCACTCCATGAACAGTCTCCATGAACAGCATTACCAACCCCCAATTGTTTGATTCAGAA